CCCCTCCCTCAACTGGGCGTCGACGCCAAAGCAATTACTTTGCCGACAAATGGGTTGCCTGCCTTCCGGGCGTTGCCCATGCGGCCCGGAGATCGCCATAGTTGAGGGGCCTTGGGAGTGGTGGGCAGGGCGGGGCGGGGCATGGGGCGGGATCCTGGCTGGGCGGGACGCAAAACAAAGTGCTATTGTCTTGGCGTGGCGGGGCCGTGCTCGGCGGGCCTGGCGCGCGCGACGCGCGTTGCACAGCAAATCTTGGGCGGCACGTAGAGGAGCGGGGCGTGGCGTGGCGTGGCGTGGCGGGGCGTGGCGGGCGGGGCGTTATGGGAACCCGGGGTTGCGTGCCGGACGCGCTGCCTAACCCACAGGGGCCGCATCGCATACCTCTGCACCCATTACCATGATTCTCCCCCCCTCCCTCCCCCACTCCTCCTCCCGCCATTCTGCCCTCTCTGCACATTTTCCGCGGCCCTGCTTCTCTTCCTTGCCCGCGCGCTCATGCTCGCCGTCTCGCTCTGAAGGGCCTCCTGTGCGCCTGCGGCGAGGCGGCGAGGCGAACCCCTCTCCCCCCCCCTTTCCATGTCACTTTCACCGCGACAAGAGTCCACATTCCGTAGCGCCCCCCGCCCGCTCCTCTCCCCACCACCCCGGTGGCGTCCTTTCTCATAAGAGGGCCCCGCCCATGTGTGTGTGTGTGTGTGTGTGTGTGTGTGTGTGTGTGTGTGTGTGTGTGTGTGTGTGTGTGTGTGTGTGTGTGCGCCCCTTGCGCGCAGGCCGCCCGCACTGCGCACTGCGGCGCGGGCGGCCCTGGGCTTGACCCACAGCAGCGATCACTTACGGACGTGCCTGCTGCGCACCGGGCGCGGGGCGTGGCGTGGCGGGGACAGCCCGCCGGGGTCAAAGGGGACGAGCGTCGTCGTGACGCGGCATGTGTATAAGCTACAGAGGAGAGCCTGCCTGGCTATGAGCTGGAGAACCCCCGGCCGCCCGGCGAGTAGGCAACGCGTGCACGCGCCTGCATGCGGTACAGTATACCAGGTGGCCGACTAGGCCGCGCGCAACTTCGCAGTACTTACCGTACCGCGTGCACGCGCGCTGACGGGCTGCCTACTCGCACGGGGCCGTGGGCAGAGCGAGGATAGGCAAACCCGCCCGCACGCGTGCATGCGGTACAGTATACAACAACGAAAGTGCGCGCGCCGTGAGTCAGCAGCAGCGGCACCACCTGGCATAGCTG